CGGCGGCGGCGGCGGCCGAAGCGGCGCCACAGCAGCCGCGGCGAGCAGCGGCGGCCTCGGAGCAAGAGGGGTCCCCGCCCGGGGCTCTGGTGGCCGCGGCGCGCTCGTCGTCGCAGTATTTCCTGTTTGGATTATCTTTTGCTTCTCCCCAGCTGCCTCCTTCCCCTCGCACTCCCACTCTCTCCCGCTCCTCGGTCGAAGCTGCCCTCGGCCCGGGCTCGTCTCCCCCGCCCGGGGACGCCTCTTGCCGCCCCTCCCGGGCCGCGGGGGAGCCCCGCCGAGACCATGAGGAAATTCAACATCAGGAAGGTGCTGGACGGCCTGACCGCGGGCTCGTCCTCGGCCTCGCAGCAGCAGCAGCCGCAGCAGCACCCGCCTGGGAACCGCGAGCCGGAGATCCAGGAAACGCTCCAGTCCGAGCACTTTCAGCTCTGCAAGGTGAACGGAGCGCGCAGCCCGCGAAAATTGGGGTCCTTTCAGGGGGCAGCTCAGGCTGTACAGGGGAGTAGGAGGGAATGGAGCGCCAATAATCCTCTTCTCATCCCGTGAATAAAGGGCTGGCTCCTCTAGCAAACATTTGCTTGGTGGGTTATTTTGGAGATTGACATCATCTTACTCTTTTTCGTTGATTTTTTTTCCCTCCCCCTTTCACATGCAGCAGTCATTCAGGGTTGCTTCCCACGTATTTATACTGCTCTTTAATCCGTATTAATAATCATACAGCCGTTATATTAAAACGTCTTCATATAATTCACCAACTTCGAAGTTTCCCTTGGAAAGTGTGTAATGAATATTGTTTATCAAAACGCCAAACCTGTTCAACTAGATACAGGCTCATCACCTTTTCCTTAGGATGTGGTGGTGGGAGGCTTGAAATATGAAATCACAGGGTCCTCTTACCATTATGTTCGGTTAAAAAGTTAGTCCTGTGATTTTTGCCTATTAATGGCGCGACAATTGGCCATAGCGGTCTGTAATTCAGAAAGAATGATGCAGCGAATTAATTCACCAGCTGCTCAATGAGAAATACAAACTTCTCTTGGTATTAATACCAACCTGCCTCATAAATGCCGTGCGTTCACATGTTAGAGCTTCTTAAAAGTATGTAGGTACACTTTATTGTCCCAATGCCGTACAATTATTAAGGATTTAAAAGCAAAATGCAAAAATATATGCTGTACTCATTCTGTTACAATTGCAAAATGTTGCGATAGATGCTTGAGAATTGTTTTACTGAATCCTTGACTAGCTTATATGACAGCATTTCCTTAGAAGTACTTGCATTAGCATCCAAATAAAGTAATGATGCAGTTGTCACACTTGAAATAAAGCATGAATTGCATTTTTAAATGAATTTACAGAATTTTTTATCACGGTGAATGTTAGTTTGTTCTTAGACATGCTGGTATAGAATATTAATCAGAAATTGTGTTTTATAGAATACCAGTATTATGGAAAAGCTGACATTAAAGTGTAACATGGGGATAGATTTTTTTCCTTTTTTTTTTTTGGTTTTAGGTTCTGTGTGACTAAGTTTTGTTAATGCAGATTTCAGAGTTTGTTTTTTATTTAAAGCAGTAAGTACACCTATGTGTGTTTTGCATCAGTTATAATTGGTTCTAGATCTGATGCCTTTATTGACTTTTCTGTTTTTAAATTTCGCTTGCTGCGTTGGTTGGTGTGATGTCACTTGCACACCCCTAGACTGTTCGCCATGGATTTCCTTATCAACCCTCAGCCCTGGCCTTTGATCCTGTACAGAAGATCCTGGCAGTGGGAACTCAGACTGGTGCTTTAAGGCTGTATCCTTTCATTTAAATTATTATCGTTTTTAACTTCTACTGTATTTTCTCAGTCTTTCTGTGCTGCTGATTAGTTGCTCTTCTTGCTTTAGTCCAAAGAAATGTATGTTCGGGTAGATATTACATGAAATCATGTGGTGTTGGCTTTTGTCTTGATTATACATAATATTTATGTTATATATCGCTGCGATGTTTCTCAGATCTCAGTTTATAGTAGCTAAAACATGTATCCACATAGAGTTCTCAAGTTTTGCTATATTTAGTAACTACTGTTTGAAAAGAGCTAGAAGTTTCTAAGGGAACTATAGCTGCTTATACTAGTAGTCTATTGACCGGAATATGGCAAGAATGAGGTTTAAAGACAGTTGCACGAGGCACATTTTAATTGCTTTTTTAAATTATTGTGCATAATTAATGTTGAACTTATGACCTATTTATTATTCTAATGAATTAGAGGTTGAATTTGAATTTGACTCTCTGACTTGTCCATCTAGAAAAATCATTAGAAGACAAGTATCTTAATTTTATACAAGTAGTTAGAGGTTCCTATTTCTAGAAGTTTTAGAGCCTTAGCATAATGTAAATGGATAAGTGTACTCTTCTTGATGTTTCCTCTTTTGTCGTCTGCATTTGTTATGTATTCGTAAAAACTATTAGGTTAGCTGTACTCTGAAATATTAGTAGAGAATTATTTTTCCTGGTTATGCATGAACTATAGGAGTTTTGTCATAGCATATTTTCCAAATACCTACTCAGTTTTCAAGATAATTTTTTTAGTCTGAGCAGTTCAGAATACTTCTCATTTCTTCTTTTAAACTATTTAACTTAAAATTGTGTTTGCTTTTACTATGACATTTAATCATCTTAACCTAAATACCCTTAAATTTAAACTTAGATGTAAGATTTTTTTAAAGAAAATGCTTTGTAGGGTTATCTGTAGGGTATCTGCTTCCTGTATTATTGAAGTAATGTGTTCATAATAAATAGAAAAAAATCATGAGATGATTACAATAGACATAACGATCATCGAAACAGACAAGCAAGCAAAAGGGAGAAGCACGGAATTTTACCCCTCACATTTTACATTTATCTGGCTCCTGATAAAGGGGGAGGGGAACCTGCATTTAAGTAAAATGTCTTCCAGAATTTTTCCTTATACTTTTAAAAAATCATCATTTAAAGAAGGACTGTATATAGTATCAAGATATGCCTCATTTCATTTGATATTAGTGTGCAATCTTCAAAATGATCATAAAAGTTTTTTCAGATGGGCCATTGAGCTGTATTACTAAGGGAAGTCTGTCATTCAATAGTAAACAGTAGTAGTGCACTCACACCTGTTAAAATGGTAAAAACTGACCAGCCTAGATCCAAGTCTGTGAATTTCTAAATTGTTTGTCTAAATGGCTCTTGCCTAAATAGCTGGGTAGTTGAGAACAGAATATTTTTGGCTTCAATTGTTTAGATATTTTTATTCCTAAACCCATTGATCAATATCTTCTAGTTTAGGGTTCCTATTTTAGTCTTGTGAAGATGGGAATAAAGTTAATTTTTGTCAGTGTGGGTACTGAGTGTTCAGTAAAGCTCTGTGTAGTGACAAGTCGTATGTATTGTTAGGTTTAGGTGGACTGTTTGGAACTGAAAGCAGATTTTTGTTTGTTTGTTTGTTTGTTTTTGTTTTGTACCCAGCAAAAGAATTCATCACTAGACTAAAAGAAAAAAAAAGTTGAATTAAATCAGTTATTTTTAGATTATTATTATTATTATTATTTTATTAAATTCGTTGAATTTTTACTATTTTTTTCCCATGTAGTCTCAATTTTCTTAGGTAAGTAACTTTTATTTTCTTTTAACAGTCACTCTGCCTCTTTTATAATTTAATGTAATTATAGGTAAGTACCACTAGCAAGGCTGACTTTATAAAATCAAATATTTTTCTTAAACAAGACTTTTACCCTTAACGCATTTGAGTAATTAGCAAGTTGACACAAAGGGAGGAGTAAAAATGTTAAGCCTAATGCTGCTTGCCAAACAAAAGCAAGGATCAAGTGTCCAAAATCATCACTGTATATGATTTTTGCTTATACATATTTAATAGTTAAATACTATCTGAGTGTAAGTAAATCTGTAATTATAGTTTACAATTATATTCTAAATTTCCACTTTTTTTTTAGGGCCTGTCTTAACTATGTTTAGAATGAAGTCAGGAAAACTATTTACCAAATATATTTCTACTTTTCCTTTTTTTGAGATTTATATGAACATTCCAGAGTGATAAATTGGTTTGCCTACTAGTAATACCACCTAGTCATTCCTACTGTTAGGTTTAAGTAGTAGGTCAGCTTATGAGCTTTCTTTATTATGGCTTTGATTTATGGTAAATGACTAAGAACTTTTCATTTTTATCTGATTTTCACATATGTGATGTAAGATATATGTTAGTTTTTCTGTTCTTTATTTTCAAAGCTAGACAACTGAAATTACAGCTTCTAATGTTACAGTTCCATATTGATAATAACATGCAGACTATATTCCAAGTCCATTCTGTTGCTCTTGCTGTTTTGTATTTTTCATTATTACAGTTGGTTTGTTTTAGTCCTTTTCTGTATTTTCTTTTCATGTTAGACTCTGGTAGCCTGTAATACATTTTTCTTAAAAGGTGCCTTTAAAGCATAAATAAACTTCTAGATAAAGTATTTTCTTTCCTTTAATCGTGGAGCAGAACGTAGGAGATGTATTCAGAAGTAGAATTGGGCTATTGAAATTTGAAATGCTTATCTGACTTGACTAATAGAAGGTTTTCCTAAATGTTGGAGAACTAAATTATATTAACCTACTCTGAGGTTAAAAAGAAAACTAGATGAAGAGTTACATCTGATATCTCTTTATTTGTAGATACAAATTAGTGAAAATCTGAATCCTTAAATAATATCTAACTAATAATGAGATGAGATAAATTTAATGCATTTGCTGCATTAATTATAGCACATGACTGATGATATCATTATAAACATGCTTTATGTTCAACTTTCTTTGCTTCTGGAGAGAATATGAGGTTGGAATGTACTTACTGATAAGCAGGAAAGCATATTTTATATAACAATCATATAGTAGTGATGTGATTTAATTATGTTAATTCTTTTTTTGCCAGGTAGAAATAAGTTCACTTTCAGTCTTATGAGTAATCTAAGGATCAAAATTATTGGGGTAACAGATAATATTGTCAATAATATTGTAATAACTATGTATGGTGTCAGGTGGGTACTAGATTTATCGGGGTGATCACTTTGTAAGTAATATAAATGTCTAATCACTATGTTGTACACCTGAAACTAATATAATATTGTATGTCAACTATAACTTAAAGTTTTTTTAAAATTAAAGAAAACTATTAGGATAAATATTCTAGTTATTCCCATATGGATACATGGGGGTGGGGAGGGGGAGTTCTAACTGAAGAATGAAGATGTTTCTAGTAATTCTGCTGTTGTCCCTATGCGGACTCCTGGTTTACTAGTATAATTTGAATTGTTTCATACTCGCTTGTAACCAGGGACTTACCCTGATCATATTTTTAAGGTATTTTTGTCTAAACACAGTGAGGTCATTTTATGTATGAATATTTCAAGGACCAAGCAGAAAAAAAGAATTTCAAATTTACTGAATTTCTGTAAAAATTGATTAGTTTTTATTATAATTATCAAAATTATTATCAAAGAACCTCATTTACTGTCTTCTTGATCTGTGGAAAAAACAGTGTAATAGTCAATCTACTTTGATAAGGCACAGACTGTCTTTTAAATTGCAGTGTAATGTTGCTGAACGCAGGCTTACAAAGCAGTTTTGTACCTTGGAGTTCATTTAATAAGCATTTATTAAGTGTTAACATTAGATTATAAATTGTGTCCTGAATTCTGGTTCTTGTCTTGCCACTAAAGAATTATGTGTCCTCAAATTAGTTTTTTTTCTTACTTTTATAATGAAAGTCCTGTATTAGATGATTTCTTTCAAGGAACAATTCTGTGATTCCAAGTAGCTATACTGTATTGTTTTATGTGAGTATTCAAAAGAAATGAAAATGTGATTTTTACCTTCAAGAAATTTCCAATCCTAACTGAAAGACTAGAGCTAGATAAACATAATTGAAATTAAAGAAGTATTTAGGGGTCTACTGACACTGCATAAAGGCAGATTACAGGTAAATTCATTGCATTTGATGACATTTCTACACATTAGTAGATAAGGATTCTGAATGGCAGAGAAGGAGTGGGAAAATTATTCTAGGCAAACGTGGGCAAAAGTAGAGAAAAGGGAATTGTCATGGTAATTTAGAGTAATACTAAGGAGACTCCTAGGAATAGTGATTCTAATTGAGTTGGGGGGAGAATTAAGGACCCAGTTGGTGGAGAACCCTGAATGTTAGTCTGCATTGTCTGGGTATTGTTCGGTGAGGAATCATTGTAGTTACATAAGGAGATGCTGACAGGGAGAGAGGATGATTTTAGGATGATTAATGGGGCAGTGGTATCATGGATGAAAAGAACAGACCAAGTGAAACTTCAAATGTAACTATTAATCCATATAAGTAGTAAGGTGGATCTAAAACGGGTAGTAGACTGGGAGCTGGAGAAGGACTTGATGACTCTTTTTTTTTGTATAACATCTTAGAGGGAGTAACTAAAGATGATAAAGTTTTGCAGATATTGCACTGAGGCAATTACAAGACAGACATGGAAAACTTGGTAAAGAGGTGACAGTAATTTTGTGTTTGGAATTCTGTCATCTTTTACTTTTGTCATGTTGCCATTTGAGAAGGGAGTCTAGAATACTTACACTAACTAGCATGAGAGTTTGATCCACTTTTACACTTGATTTCTTTTTGAATGGTCGTTGGTCATTCCTGGATTTTGTTACTGAATTGAACTACTTGATAGTTGCTATTAGCTGCTTGGCTGTGTCGATTTATCTTCAGTCAGCATCTCCAGTAATGAAAGCATTTT